CCCCAATATAATGTTAGATGTTGGCACTCCTCCAATGGTACCTTTTATTTCTCCGTTTTCTGCAAAAAAAAAAAAAAAAAAAAATAATAATTATATATGTGGCGAAAAGTTTTTAGTATTAAAAAAAACAAAAAAGAATTCTTGTTTCGGTTCTTTTTATGTATATATATATATACCTATGACTTTGGCCAAGCCGAGAGCTGATCCAATAGTGGCGTAGGTGAAGGACATGATTGCAGCAATAACCGAAAGCCATTGGGTATTTCGAAAATCGGGTATTTGAGAAACAATTACTTGAATTGTTCCGAATGCAATCATGTAATAAGTGTTTCCGTATTTACAAGCATCTTTATGCCCTTTATTGTGGAAACAATTCGATCTCTGAATTGCTCTGCACCATTAGACAAAAAAGAAAAAAAAAGAGTAATGAATTTTATCGAACTTCAATTACTAGATTTTTGAAAGAAAACCGTAGCATTATTACCTCATGCTGATGGCCGATGTAATTGTGTACACGATACCTAACTTGATGAAATTTATTCGGACAATAATGCTACAGAACCACGCACTTTTCTTTCCTGAGATGCAGAATAATATAATGTTATATTCTCTACAGATAATCCAATATTACCATATATCATAAGGTATCATTTTCCGATTTATCGTCATTTATTTAACAAAAAAAAATAAAAATCAGCGTCTGATTACATCTTTTAATTCGAGTTGTGCACAAGATTCAAGAAGCAGAGACAACTTTTATCTTGGAACTCATATATTTCTAATATAATTTTAATTTTCAAGAACTTGTGTCGGGCCCAATTGAAATACAAGCGAGAAAAAAAACCCGAGTAGAACCGAAAAATGTTTTCTTAAACGTCTTAAAATTCCACCAAAACAATTTAAATTTGAGTTCTAATCTTAACTCACTTTCGTAATGATTCCATTCACACAGCAGAGGAATCAAGAAAAAAAGATTCCCTTTTTTTAATTTTTTGCAACATATAATAGGATTCAAGTCCGTGGACAAGTCGTAAACGAAACTTAGCTATCGAGCATTTAATCTAATATTTAATACATCAAAACTATTTAACCAATTCTACCTAACACTAAAGTATACATGTATTTATCTCACAAACGAAACATTACTCAACAAAGTAAACGAAAAAAAACAGGGGAAAAAGAAATTAAACATACAAAAACGAGAATGTCGATCCAAATAATACTTACCTAGAATTCTTTGAACAGCGTCTAAGTAGGACCCGTTTCTGTAAACACCATTGTTAGGGTCTGAGGATTTATAGCAGTTGCAGAGAAGAAAGGCAGAAGTAAGAGTAACCGAAGCAAACGCCAACATGGTCAGTGGGCCCGCAATCCACCCGAGCCGAGATATGCTCCATGCTAAGGACAGAACACCGGATCCGATAACCGCTGTAATAATATGGGCTAATGCTGTCCATATAGTCCCTGTTCTCTTCGTTTGAGGAACACACATGTTAAAACAATTTTCTCAAAAAAATCGACTTCAATGATTTGTAGAGTGAAAAATGAAAAATAAAATAAAAAATCGACTGCACTAGTTACGGTGTGCGACGAATCATAGGAAATGGTCAAATGTGGTCCAGTTTTTACAGCACCAAAAACAACCAGCGGGTAGTCAAGACTTGCTTTTTTCTATCCCATCATAACAAAAAGAAAGAAAGTAGTGATCTTTTTAGATACCCACTTTGTGCAATGAGGTTTTCCGGTTTTTGGGTTTTCGGGTTTCGATAAAGAAATTGGTTAATTGACACCTCAAAAGAGTAAATTTCAATCAAAAGACTGGATCATTTCTCTATTTCTCCGAAAAAGTTATTGCTTCGGCATCAAAACAAAAGGAAAGAAAGTAGTGATCGTTTTGGATGCCCACTTTGTGAAACGAAGTTTTCCGGTTTTCGGGTTTCCGGGTTTCATATTTCGATAAAGAAATTGCTTAATTGACACCTCAAAAGAGTAAATTTCAATCAAAAGACTGGAAATTTTCTCTATTTCTCCGAAAAAGGTTATTGCTTCGGCATCAAAACACGGAATCTTGTTCGAAGAAAGAACAAAAGGGATTGTAATGGCTGGAGTTATCGAAAACTGCGAAAAAATTCTACTAAGCCCTTAAAAAGGGGGAAAATCATAGAATCAAGAAGTAGAGAGAGAAACAAACACAGGAAAGTTAGTAAGAGAAAGATTGGAAAAAAGTGACCAAGAAAAGTAGCTCAAATTAATGAAGGCAAACAAGACTTGAAAGTTCTTCTTACCTAACCTGATATTGAAATTTCACCAAAATCCAACAGCACAAAAAATCAGAGCAAAAAATTAGGGCAAAAACAGGGGGGGACTCAATTGCAAAATACCGAAGTGTTTTTGAGGTAAATGTGATAATAAATTAATAAAAGGGGGGCGAAAGTGGAAATAACCTCTCCTATGAGCATGCTTCATGATTTCTTCAGAAGATGATAATGAAGAAGACGAAGAAGGTGATAAGAAGGAGCGCTGATCATTTCCGCCTATCTCCATTGTTAGTGGGGAGAAAGGCTGATGAAGTTTTAAGGTCAACAACACCGCATATACATACACATAGCACAACACCGTGGTTGTGCGACGGGCGCCGGAAAACTACCGCGAAAGTCGGAGGTGGCTTCCCCGATGGGCTCCATCCATTTTTGTTTTTGTCCGAATTTTATAGTTTTATTGATAGGTCCCATAATAGACTTTTTAGCAATACATTTTTGGGTAAATTATGGTCAACCCCTGAGGTAAGGTTTAATTACGAAAACACCCCTCATTTTTGAGTAATTACCTCTCAACTATGAATCTTTTTACACGTCCACTATTGTGGTGTCAAAATTAGTGGGATCTTTTAAATTTTGTGGAATATTCTCTATTTTGTAGCCGTTTTATCCCATTCGAGTTCCACATTTTGAAACAAGATGATCGATCATAAAATGTGTCTCTTGGCTTGTAAAAAATCAGATTGTGGTGCATCAGCAGAAACTGCATTTTTGCACAAAACGAGTACAGACTAGAGAACATTCCAAAGAATTTAGAAGATTCTGTTGAATTTGACACAACAGGGGTGGACGTGTAAGAAGATTCATAATTTATGGGTGGTTGTAATTATCCAAATTACATGATAGATTTTTTTTCCGTAATTTGACCTTACCTCAGGGTGACCGTATTTTACCCTTTACTTTTTGCATAATATTCCATCTGCCCATATTATTTTGGAAAGTTTTTTTTTGACCCCTATCATTTTAAAATTTAAATAGATCGTTACTTCTACTTATTTTCATGTTGCCTTTTATCACTCTTAAGTCTTAACTGCTTAGTTAGTTGAGAAATAATTAATAACCACCATATTTCAGTGTTTTCTATGTTTTTTCTCCTAGAATCATTACATATTTATTAATTTCTAGAAGCATGCGTAAATCATAATAAGCAATAGTTTTATTGACTTTACTAACTTACAATTTACTTAAAAAGAAAAACCCTTAGCTAAATTTTACTCTTATTAATCCTTCAACAGATCCAATCAGCGCAACAAGCGACAAAACTACACAAAACATACTAAAAACTCGAAGAAAATCCACTTTCTTGTCCATGGTCCCGTTTTGGATTGCACCAAATACATTTCGACAGGGAAA